GTGTGTGTGTGTGTGTGTGTGTGTGTGTGTGTGTGTGTGTGTGTGTGCGTGTGTGTGTGCAGCATGGCACGGGCAGGAGGAAGTACAGCTCCTGCTCCACCATCTTCCTGGACGAGAACACAGTCAGCCAGCCCAACCTGAAGTACACCATCAAATGGTTGGAGCATGAAAGCAGCTCTAATATAGCATCTTTTAAAAAAAAATTTTTTTTTACACACTGACCATAATCTAAACATAGATTTTTGTTCTCCTCACAGCGTAGCTTTGGCGATTTACTACCACATCAAAAACAGGTGAGAATTTCCAATGGTGACGATTTTTTTGGGATTCTTTCGTTTGGATGTTTTTTAATTTTTTAGATTTTTTTAAATTAGTTAATTTTTTTAAAATTTTAATTGCTTTAATTTTTTAGATTTTTTAATTATTATTATTATTATTATTATTTTTGAATTTTTAAATTGTTTTAATTTCTTGGATTGTGGGGATTTTTTAAATATTTTTGATATTTTGGATTTTTAAATTTTTTAAAATGTATTTATTTTATTTTTATTTTTGGATTCAGAGATGTGGACTTTTGGATTCAGACAATAGGAAGAAGTGCATTTAAACAAAAAAAGAGATTGGGACTGTGTAGTTTACTTCTATTCTGATTTATTTCTGTTTTATGTCGGCCTTCGAATTCCAGCCAGAAAACATTACCCATCAAGTAGTCTTTAGAAAGCTTAATCCAACAACAACAACAAATAAAAGAGCCATTTCATGTTAAATCCCCGTGAGCTGAGCTGGGGTTCGTTTAGGTGACTCTTTGTTTGTGTTTATTTCAGGGACACAAATGGAGGAATGCTTGTGGAAATCTTTGATGAGAAGCTGCACCCGCTCACAGTGAGATTTTTTTCCTTGTAGTTTAACTTGAATAGCGACTTTTAGTTTTGTGTGGATCCTGATCCTTTTTTTTTTTTCTAATTATTTTTATTTAAACAAATGATAAGATAATCACCATAATGAATACAGTTCACTTTTTCTTTTTTGGATAAACGTATACTTATGCAGGTATAACTTCTAATATATACACACAAGTATAAATGTTGAAATAGTCCCACCTACTACATATACAAAAAACAAAACCAAAACAAAATAAGAACAATACTCCCCATTCCCACCCTGTCTCAGCCCAACATATTCAGCAGAAAAATAAGATAAATATTAATAATAATAATAATAATAATGATAAGAAAACAAAACATCAGCAAAATACAGCAACAGGCACACATTTAGTTAGGTAGGAGCTCCAAATCTGAAAAATAAGAAAGAAAACAACAGGCACATATTTAGTTAGGTAGGAGCTCCAAATCTGAAAAATAAGAAAGAAAACACTGCCATTTTTCGAAAAAATTGTCTCTACATCCTCTCATTGTATATTTAATTTTAAGTTTAAGGAAAAACACCATGTCCTTTAACCACTGGGCGATGGAGGGATATCTAGCAGTGTAATAATAATAATGAACGTCTTGCAATTAAGGATGTAAAGGCTATAATATTGATCCCTTTTTAAAGGTTAATTCAGTAAGACCTTTTTGGGTAAAATCCACTTTCAGCCTCCTGCTGCTACCAGACTTTACAACTCTGCACTTTAACAACTGCTGTGCAATTGTGTTATATTTATCGACCTGTGTAATATGTGTAATGTGTGTGAGCCATCACTGATTGTATATATTTTAGTCACCCAAATCTCTGCGTTTTGTTGCTTCCTTGTATATTTGTTTGCTTTTGCTGTACTTTATGCACCTTTTCCTCCTTTTGAACTCTAACCGATGTGTGACCAGTGAATTTCTCCACTGTGAGATCAATAAAGCTCTTATCTTATCTTATCTTATCTTATCTTATCTTATCTTATCTTATC